GATCTTGAATGAATCATGAGCCACTCACGGGGGCTAGGGATATTGCAGTTACAAACAAAATCAGTGTTAGGAATGAAAAATAGGGAAGAGAGAAAGACTGCTCAGAGGCAACCTTCTGACATGAGTCGTCAAGGAGGGAATTACAGAAGAGGTGCATTGGAGCTCATCCATGAAGGATAAGCAGTCATGTGTATGGTAGGGAAGAAGTAAGGATACTCTAGGGAGGAGGGGGGCATATGCAAAGGCACTGAATCATGGAAGACGTGTTCAAGAAATACCAGAAAGTTCTTTTCTCCTGGAGATAGAGTTGGAATTGTAAGTGGAAACAAGTTTGCAACAGGTTTCACTGCTGATCTAAAGAGGATAGTTGTCATTCTGTAAACCAAGAAAGTTAGTGGAGGTTTTGAGACAGAGACCCATTTTCCAAATACTGTTTATCTCAGTAACTTGGAACACATTAGCCCTTTGTTCTTATTTACCTGGCATTTGCACACAGTTTCTGATTTCTTAGCAGTTTTGCACCGTCTATTATTTTTATGAACCCTGTGGGTTCCAGAGGGCTTTCCTGGTGCCTCAGATGGTAAAGGATCCACCTGAAATGCAGGAGACCCAGGTTCGATCCCTAGGTCAGGAAGATCCCTTGAAGGAGGGCATGGCAACCCACTCCAGTATTCTTGCCTGAAGAATCCCATGGACAAAGGAGCCTGGCAGGCTGCAGTCCATGCGCAGACAGAGTCAGACACAGCTGAGTGACTAACACTTTCACTTGTGGGTTCCAAGTAGTTCAGAAGTCAAAGTATTGGCTACACTCTTCCCATAGCCTCATCCTTGTACCAGGGTCTTGTTTCTGTCTTTGAAATGCTTTTTCCTGCACCCTTGATGGGTGACAGAGTTTTTCTCCTTTCATCACATTGACTTCCACTGTCTTCTCAGAGGATGTTTAAGTTTCCTGGACAGTAGTCAATTTCCATCAATTTCTCAGGCTGACTCTAAGTCTGCACATATTTTCAGCCTTTACAGACTTTTCAGATTCAGTTAGATCACACCCCTGGGGCCCCCAATGCCTGGCAGCTTCTGCAGCCCACGTGCCATGCAATGTGGGTGCCTCCCCTCCACTTCCCCCTCGGATGGAGGTTCAGCTTGTATATCTGAGAAGCGCTAAATCACCCTGCAGCCTTTGCATTCCAGGTTTGGGTACAGTCTCTACATTCAGGAGGGGAGAGCAGGTATCATTTCTCATCCTGTAATCTGAAAATCTCATGTTCATTGCTGTAATCAGTCATTTGATGATTGCATGGGAGGAATAAGAAAGAGAGATTCTTAATGTCTCTACCTCTTTGAGTTTGAATCCTGCATCTCCCACTCTCTAGCTATATGACTCAGGGAGATCTGCTGAACTTCCCTTACCTATAAGATGAGATCATGAGAATATCACTTGTAATATTAAGTAAAGGATCAATGAACTATGAGAAGTGAAGTGTCCAGAGCAGTGCTTGGCACATAGCAGGAATCCAATATATGTTAGCTGCTAATATTAATAATATTTTTATTACTGTGCTAATGTGTCCCAGCAAGCAGAATAAGTTAAGATTGGTTTTCAGAAACTCAGAAGTACCAGCTTCTTGCAAAAATGTTTTGGGGGCACATTCCCAGTGTTAGTTTCTCTCACATGTGAAAGCTCATCAGTGTATACCATCTACACCACCAACTTGCTGCCCCTGAGCCAGCGATGGTGGGTGATTCTGTCCCTCAAGGGACCAGGAAATGACATTTCTCAGTAGTCAGACATATGCAGATCAGAATTATCAGACATATGCATCCTGAGTTGGAGTTTCAGAAGCAGACGCGTGACTTAGTGACAGGAACAGTGGCCTGGGAGGCAGAGCTGGGCACCACTTCTCCCTCTGCTGTGGCTCTGGGCAAGTCCCTTTCTCCCTCTGTGTCTTAGTTTCTCTAAACTTGCAGTGACCCAGCCCCAAAATGACCACCAACAGCCTCCCTTTGCCATCTCTTTAAAAAGCATGCATCATACATAGTGGATGGTTATGTAATATCTGCCTCTTCCCCTCAGTTGTAAATTCCAGAAATAGAACTTTGATCTTTTGAGTACATCACGGCAGCCAATGCAGGAGACCTGAGAAACATGAGTTCCATCCCTGGGTTGGGAAGATTCCTCTGGAGGCGAGCCTGTCAACCCATTCCAGTATTCTTGCCTGGAGAATCCCAGGGAGTCTGGAGGGCTACAGTCCATGGGGTCACAAAGAGTCGGACACAACTGAAGTGCCTTAGCACATGCACGCACTGCAGCCACAGACCCTGTCAGGACCTGGCACAGAGCTATTGCTCATTCTAATATTTTTTCAAATGAATGAATGATGTGGTATAAAGAAAAAGATTTGGGAGTAAGACCCAATTTAGAATTAGGACGTGCTACTTACTGAGAGACTCTCAGGATTATTTCCTGTAAAATAAGAATGATAACAGAAAAAAAATTTGCCAGGTTGTTTTGAGGACTGAATGTGAAAGTTTACACACACACACACATGTTTTGAGGACTGAATGTGAAAGTTTACACACACACACACACACACACACACACCCAGAAGCCCTGACCTATGTCTAGCATATAATTAGTGTTAGGTAAAAAACAATAGATATTTTGCTTACTTCTATAGAGGCTAGCAAAGGGGAATGGAGTATTCTATGTTCTGATGATTAAGTCCTAGGTGACAAAGGTAAATCTGAATATATATTAATAGACTTAGCCTGCACTCACCTATCACAGGGCAGCCAGGTTCGTGCATGCTTAGTCGCTCAGTCATATCCAACTCTTTGGGACCCCATGGACTGCAACCCACTAGGCTCCACTGTCCATAGGATTCTCCAAGCAAGAACACTGGAGTGGGTGAGCCATTCCCTTCTCCAGGGGATCTTCCTGACCCAGAGATTGAACCCAGGTCTCCTACACTGCAGGCAGATTCTTTACCATCTGAGCCACTACCAAGCCAAGTTCCTAGGGTTTTCTAAAACCCCCTTGGCCTGCTAGTGACCCACCATCTTCTCCCCCTACCTTCCTTTAACCTTTGCTGCTTTTTATGGAAGCTCATGTTTTGCCTTAAATGATACACAAGTCTAAATCCCTGGGCAGACACAGCAGAATGAGGCATAATGGGATAAGAGATGGCCTGGAGTAAGTGGAGGGTGGGAGGCAGTGGGGGAGCACCAGGAGGCCTGTATCCTCTTCCCAGCCCCGGCCTGGTCCAAACTCACCGCGTGATTGTGAGCGAACCCGCTCCTCCACAGGTTTCCCTCTCCACACCTGTAAAGCTCTCAGCCGCTGACACAGAACACGGTGGTTCTCAGGAACCTGGGGTCTGGGGTTCGGAGCTGGGTTCGTGTCTCAGCTCTGCAGTCTGACTGCTGTGACATATGGGCAGGTCAGAGCACCATCTTTGTGAAATGGACAGTGGGATTCCCATGGGCTCATTTGGAGCATTTAAGGACACGGTGTCTCCAGAGTCTCCAGCAGGTTTGTGAATGCGAAGTTCCGATCTGTGTGTTGGGAGGCCCACAGGCCGGCCCTGACCTCCCCCTTAGCTAAAGTTTCTCCCTGATGGAGAAGCTCAGGTTTCCTGAGTCAGATGCACATCTATCAGCCTTCCTGCTGGCTCAGCACTTGGCAAGCGCCGGCATCTTTCACAGAGAGACATGATCCCCACTGGGTGTGAGTGTCACCAGCTCGCATGCAATCATTTTAATGTCTGGCCCCAGACTTCCTTCTGCCCCGATTGGGCATGTCTCGGGAGAGTCTCCCCTCTTCTACCCTTCAAGCCCCAGCTGGTGGCAAGGGCTAAGTCTCCTTCTAAGAGATGCTTCTCTGAGCTTCCAGAGATGCCATTTCTGGAGATTGCCTCCTATTACCTGCCTGGGGACCCATCTCCCCAGCAGGCCACAGACAGGCACTGCCAACAGGGGCCTCTGCCATCTCCCAACTCCGTATACTGTAGACACATAATAGTCAGAGCCTGCATGTACTGAGCACTCACCCTATGCCAGGCAGTACTTCCATGCTTTACATGTATTAATGAGTTGATTTTTCCCAGCAGCTCTGGGAGACAGTGCATCCGTCAGTCCTGGCTGGAGGCAAAAACCATACCAATTATTTGAACAGAGAATTTAATCTTTAAAAATGATAACTAGATGTAAAGAGTTCACTTGGTAACTATAAAAGCAAAAATAGAAAATTGCAGGAAGCAGTTCCCACCCCTGGAGCTGAAGTAACAGAGGGAAGAGGTGGAAATTAGTCCAGCTCGGGGCTGGAAGCCACACTCTGAGGTGGGGTCTGCAGGCAGCTCCCGAGCCAGCAGCACCAGGCGGGGACAGAGGACCAGGAAGCAGGGTCTGAGTTTTGGAAAAACCGCAGAGTGGGTTTAGCTGCTGCTGAAGGAAGGAAGTGCCACAGCTGGTGTGGAGAAAGGACTTAGGGACAGGAAGCAAAAGGAATGGGCAAGTCTTTCTTCTTCCCCCTCCTGACTTTGTCTCCCTCTCATGAATAGGAAGTGGCTGGCAGAGCAGAAGTAGGGTTTGTAGAGTCCTGGCTTCAGCATCACAAAGCAGGTTTGGAGCTGAGAGGCAAAAGCTTAAATAAAAGACTGATCTCAGCTGGAGCTGTTACTATTCAGTTTCACAGATAAGGAAACTGAGGCACAGAGAGATTCAGCAGTCTGCCCAAGATTAAACCACTACCTAGAGCAGAGCAGGATTTGACTCCAGGCAGTCTGGCTTCAGCACCCTGGCTCTTAACCCCTGGACCGTAAATGCTGAATGATGAATGGATGGATGAATGAATGGGTGGATGGATGGATGGATAGATGGATGGATGGATGGATGGATGGATGGATGGATGGGAAGGCCCCCAGATAGTGCTTAGACAAGTGCCCAGCCATGCTTCCCACAAGCACAGTTCCTCCAGACGTGACTGTCTCTCTGTTGCCCACCAGGTCATTCACTGGAACTCCCCCAAGAAGCTGCGGGTGAAGAACAAGCACGTAGAGTTTTTCCGTAACCTCTACCTGACCTTCCTGGAGTACGATGGGAACCTCCTGCGACGGGAGCTGTTCGGCTGCCCCAGTGAGGCTGACGTCAACAGCGAAAACGTGAGTGGCCCCAGAGCTCGGCCACGCAGGCAGGGGTGGCCTCTCTGCTGGTCTGCCAAGGACCTCCAGTGCTTGGTTCTGTGCCAGGCTCCGGACAGGCCCAGGAGGAACCAGGTGCCATCCCCACCTTGGAGTGGGGAACGGGGCAGCGGGGGACAGGCACATCAGCAGGTCACTTCCATGCTCATCTCTGTGGATGCAGAGGCGATACGCGTGCCCAGACCAGGTGGAAGCAGAAGGGAGCTGCCAAGCAGAGGGATCAGAGTGAGAAAAACCTCAGTGAAACAACAGGCTGAGGGTCTGTCCACAACTGGGGACTCAGGGCTTTGTGGACATGGCACCCACATGGACACCCAGGATTCAGGGTTAGTACGTGGGGTGGCACAAAATATTTTCACAGCTAGATCACAGACACAGCTGACATCTACTGTATTATCCTGTTTCTTCACTGTTTATAATTTCTTTGTATATCTTATTTGATGCTCATAGAAACCTTTTTTTTTCCCCAATTAGAGTTGAAGACATTTTAGACACAGAGAGGTTATGCAGTTTGCTTGTGGTCACATAGCACGTAGGAGCAAAGTTGAGACAGATTACTATCCAGACTTAGAAGCAGTTGAGACTGCTCTAAGGAGCAGGATGTGGGGAAGCAGCTTATTATCGTGGAAAAGGTAGGGCGTGTGGGATCAGCTTGGCCTGGTTGGGCTTTAATCCCTTCTGATTTCCACTTCTGTGTTCTCAGGCAAGTTACTGAATCTCTCTGTGCTTCGGTTTCCTCCTGTGTCAAATAGAGATAAGGAAAGCTGTCATAGGGCTATTCTGAGACTGAGAAACTGTGTAATCCATCTCAGTCAGCATCTGCCCTATATTGCTATTGTTGTTCAGTTGCTACATCATGCCCAACTCTTTGTGACCCCATGGACTGCAGCACTCCAGGTTTCCCTGTCCTTCACCATCTCCAGGAGTTTGCTCAAACTCATGTCCATTGAGTCGGTGATGCCATCCAAGCATCTCATCCTCTGTCATCCCCTTCTCCTCCTGCCTCCAATCTTTGCCCTGTGTTAGATGCTTGATAAATGTTTGCTCCCTGCCCTCTCCTTGACCCTTAGTACTAAACACGAGTAACTGGTTCATTCAGTCAGTCAACAAACATTTATTGAAGGCCTTCTTGTTCTGAGCGCTGAGGATTCATTCACAGGACAGTGATCCTCGCTCTCATGGTGCTGCTATTAATATTTTAGTAGGGAAGATACAGTAAGTAGCCAAGCTATCAGGAAAAATTATCAGCCAGCGGCACATGTTACATAATGACATGAAGTCAAGGAGAACTTCTGAGGAGGTGACATTTTATCTGAGACTCAGATTCAAGGAAGAGGCAGCTGTGGAAGGGTGCAGGATCAGGGAAATACAAGTCAAAGTCACACGAGGAGGCAGTACCTCCTCAAGCCTGTCAGGAAGGCTGTTAACAAAAGATACTAAGAGTTGGCAAAGACGCGGAGAACTTGAAACCTTGTCCACTGTCGGTAGCGTGTAAAATGGTGAGCTGCTATGGAAAACAGTATGGAGTTTCCTCAAAAAAAAAAATAATAATAATAGTAGAGCTGTCATATGATCCAGCAGTCCTACTGCTGGGCATATGTCCTAAAGTAAATTAAAATCAGGATCCTGGAGCAGTGTCTGCATTTCCATGTTCAGTGCAGCAGTATTCTTAATAACCAAGCTACAGAAACAACCTAAGTATCCGTTGAAAGGTTAATGGATAAGGAAAATGCAGTCTGTACCTATACAATAAATGTTGTTCCACTTAAAAAATGAGGCCAGTCTTATCATTTGTGACAACGTGGATGAACCTGGAAGACATTGTGCTAATGAAATGAGTCGGTCACAGAAGGACAGATACTGCACACGGTCTTATATGTGAGGCTTCTGAGCTAGTCCCACGTATTGATGCCGACAACAGGATGGTGGCTGCCAGGGGCTGGGGAGAGGGGGTCACGAGGAGTTGATGTTCAGTGGCTGTAAAGGTGCAGTTAGTGCCAGAGATGCCCTCTGCAAATATGTTTAAGAGTGTAGATTCCGTGTTAAGTGATGTTACCACACACACACACACACACAAAGGAAAAACCAAGAAACTTTTGGAGGTAATGGTTATCTTTAATACCTTAAACGTTGTAATAGTAACATAAGTACATAAATATAGCCAAACTCACTAGACTGTTTTCATCATGTGTCATTTTTTGTATGCCAGCTATACTGCAGTAAGGTTTCCCTGATGGCTCAGTGGGTAAAGAATCCACCTGCAATGCAGGAGACACAGGAGATGTGGGTTTGATCCCTGAGTCGGAAAGATCCCCTGGATGAGAAAAGGGCAACCTACTCTAGCATTCTTGCCTGGAAAATCCCATGGACAGGAGCCTGGTGGGCTACAGCTCAAAGGGTCACAAAGAGTCGGACACAACTGAGTGACTAAACATACACATACTGCAGTAAAGTTGGAAAAGGAAAAAAGAACAGCAGAGGAAGCGCATTCCAGGCGGATGAAGTTGCTGGCATGGATGTCCTGAGGCTGGGCGGGTTTGCTGTGAGGACCGGAAGGATGGACCGTGTGCCCAGGGGCTGATAGGAAAGGTGAAGAGCAGGAGATGCCGAGCAGCGGGGAAGCGGGAGGCAGGCTGGAAGGATGCTGGAAGTGGGTTAGAGAGTCAGGATTTTGTCTTACTACTGTTGACAGGATGGATGTCAGGAGAATTCTTTGAGGCTCTAGGGGCGGGGCGGAGCGGAGCGGGAAACTCTGCCAGCATACACCTACCTGGCCCTTTATCAGGATGACCAGTAGCATGGCCTCCCTTGTTCTCTGTCACTTACCCCCAGGTCATAGCATCATCCCCTCAATCTCCAGCCTTTCTCTAGTCACCCTCCATCAGCATCTGCCCTTCTTTTCCACTCACCAGAGAGGAAACAAACCCATTAAGCTCTTGACCTCCATCTCAGACTCTGGGATGCCTTTAGAGGTCTCCACAAACACTGTGTTATTCTGGGTTTTCCTTCCGTTCTTTTCACTCAAGTCAGAATGTGTTATCATCATCAATATTTGAGTGCCCATTCAGCACTTTTCCCCCAAACATTAAATATAAACTGTTCTCCTGCTCCCTTTTTTTTTTTCCCTCCACGGAAGAGGCTCAAATACAAAGCCTTGCAGGGTGATGTCATCCGTTAATCTCTGTAGGGGTGAGTTCCCATGGCATGCTGCTCAATGCCTTACTAATTGGAACGGCCTTTAACAGTGACTCACCAGCCCTTCCTACACCAGTCTCCCCTGGTGGGTCATCAGAGGGGAGAAATCTTCCGTGGTCCTTCTTAGAATCTGTGGCTGCATTTACTTGGTGCATAAGCACTTAAGAGAGCTGGCCACCCGCCAGGTGCCATGCAGGGCACCACGGTTGAAATCAGAGGCTGCTCCAGTTCCTGGAGATGGTGCTCACCACGGGACAGGGTCAGAGATGGCGAGAGGACAGTCTGCCCAGGTGCGGGGAGAGCAGCCTTCTCTAAGGCTCACCCCAGCTGTCCCCCAAAAAACTCTCCCCTTGACACTAAGCCCACACCCCCCACCTTTGTGTTCCTTCCAACATCCCAAGGCCTTTGCACTTGCTTCTCAAGTCCTGGCACACCCGGCCTGTCCCAACCTCAGGTAGCCCTTTATATCACTCTCTGTGAGGTGCCCTATTTTCTTTTCATCGGCACACACATGCTGTCCACAATTATTTCACTCATGTCATTTTTTCCCCTATTTTTTTCCCCCAAGTGTAAGACTGTTAAGAGACCCTGCCTGTACCATTCACCTCTGGGGTGCCTGCCCCTAGCATAGCAGCAAGCACATAATAAATATTTACAAAAACACTCAATAAATATTTACAAAAAGAGCAGAATGAGGGACCAGACATGAAGAGCCAAGAAGTAGAAAGTTCACAAAGAACGTGCTGATGGTTTCTCTACCGTAGCAGAGGCGTGTCGGCAGAAGGGCAGAGAATGAAGCTGACCCTTGCAGGGCCTTGGCTATGCTTGGGCATTTAAATTTAATCCTGTTGGCCGTGAAGGGTCACCAGAGGGCTTCAGACATGGTCAGGTTTACATTTGAGAAAAGTTGCTCTGTGCGGAGACTAGAATGGAAGGGTCTAGACGAGAGGCAGGGAGCCTGGTTAGAGGCCATTGCTGCGTCCCAGGCAGAAAAGATGGTGGTGGGGCTCTGAGCGCAGGCAGCAGCAGTGGGGACGAGAGGACAGATGGATGTTTTGTGGGTACTGAGAACAGGGGAGCAAGTGCAGCCAGTACCCATAAACCGAGACGGCAGGTCCCAGTGCCCTGCTTCAGTCAGCCGCCTCCGGCCCGGCCAGCTCAGAATGAGGGTGGCTAGAGCAGGAGTCTGTAGCACACAGCCTGGAACCACATCTCTGCACCCTGGTCCCTCGCCACCTGCCCAGTGTTATCTGCAAACACTGCCAGAGGGAAAGGGTAAGACCTCGGATCTGGCCCAAAGCCGACAGCTCTCCGTTCTGGGAAGAGGTCACTGGAGCCGTGAGAAGTGTACTGATAGTGGTCCTCTTGAAGAGAGGAAGTCAGGGACCTCTCCACTAAACTGCGGATCCCAGATTGAAAGGGCTCCGGTGGCAGGCGCCAAGTCTCAAGACACATTCATCCACTCGGCAGATAATCACTCAAACAGTGCCCAGCCACAGGGCCCGTGATCTGGGGCAGCAGTGCAGATCGAAGCCCGACTCTCACAGTGCTTGTCTAGTGAGGGGTGCAGACAGGCAGGAGGTTGTCATCAGTGTGAGAAGTGCCAGGACAGTGTGGTACTTTGAGAGCACAGAAGAAGAGGAGAGAAGGTGCATCAGGGAAGACTTCCTGGAGGAGGTGGGATTCAAAGGATGAATAAGGAGGCATGAGAAGGTATGGAGGCTGGAGGGAGCAGCATGGTCCGTGGAGACCAGAGGTGAACAGGA